ATTTGGTCACCTTTTACCACAGTGAGCCTGGCTCAGGAATTCATTCAATGCACACAACAGAAAGAAATAAAACAAGAAAAATCCTTGAGCCAATGGAATGGCAGAGTTTGGCTTAAATATTTGTATTAAAATTATTTTTGCTTTTTAAACAAATTTGTCAAATGCTCTTAGGAGCAGAAGAGAGCAGAGAGACGAAAAGGAAACTTGTGTGTCGCTGATGCTTTCTTTATGCACATGCTGTCCACAGGCTGCAGTAGGGACATGCGTCCCCAAGCATGCTTTGTGCTCTCACTTACCTTTCCTACAGTGATATCTGGCTGACAAATTCTGGACTTTTTCCATCAGTTCTCTTTCACAGTGGATCAAGGCTACTTATGCTGTTTTAGAGCCTGATTCAGCAAAGCACTTAACCATGTGCTTCATTTTAATCATGTGACCAGTGCCATTGTTAATATAATTATATAACATATTTGCAGATTAAAGCAACCTTTTGCCCACTGTGGCTAAACAAAGCCTCTTAAAATTTAAAATTTAGCAAAACTCTGGCTAAAGCGTCTCTCTTCCCATCCCTCTGTCCCGCCCAAAAAGACTGATTTGGGGTGGAGCAGCTCAGTACCACTCTCAACACGGACCAGTGCTTTAAAAAACCCTATTTGGCTCACCATACATAACTGCCCAACTGAAATGACCAGATGATGGCAAAGTACAACTCTTAGCACCTCCCTAGTCAGCACATCTGCTCCCTGTTTGTACTCAGTCAGATCTGCTGACTTTAGTGACAGGTAAGTTTCACTCTTTTTCACTCCTGTCAATTTTACAGATGCTATAAAACACTGGGAGAGTAAGCTGTTACTGACAGGTTTCAGAGTAGCAGCCGTGTTAGTCTGTATCCGCAAAAAGAACAGGAGGACTTGTGGCACCTTAGAGACTAACAAATTTATTAGAGCATAAGCTTTCGTGGACTACAGCCCACTTCTTCGGATGCAAGAAGTGGGCTGTAGTCCACGAAGGCTTATGCTCTAATAAATTTGTTAGTCTCTAAGGTGCCACAAGTCCTCCTGTTCTTTTTGTGGATACAGACTAACACGGCTGCTACTCTGAAACCTGTCAAGCTGAATATGTCACTGTTAGTTTCTGTTTTCTA